GTAAAACAAATTACACGGAAACCAATTAAACAAAGAAATATAAAAGTTGCACCCGAAACTCTTAAGTAGCCGTCCAACCTTTTATTAAAACCCTGCTTTAAGTTCGAGAGGAGGTGAGACAAAACCTCTAGTTATCGTGAGATCGAATTGCTCGACGCTTATGGTGTGATTACTATTTTAGACTTTTCCGGAGAGATGGTTGCGAGGTTTTGATTCAGGATTTATAGAGTTTTTCACATTCCATATGTTTTAGACTTATTCTAAAAATATCGACTTCCAGAAAACTAGTAAAATTATTCAACCTACTTCAGAGATCGACTTTCATACACCTTTCCTCTTCGTAACACCGCGTTCCACATTTTACAATTTCTCCTAAACTCTCCAAGAGGTTAACTCAAGGAGGGTAAATCAAGTGGGATTTTTTCTCAAATTTTCGACTTATAGAGTTTTCATATTGTATAAAAACTTTTTCAACTTTTATACTGGGGTTCCCCGGGACTGCACTTTTTTCAAACCCTTGTGACGAGATCTACTCAAAATATCATTAGGAGCAATAAATAATATGAAGGTACAACATCAGGCGACATATACTTTTGACCATCAAAGGTTATCAAAGGGGTGTCGTCGTCTGCCGTGTAAATTAACTGACAAGGCGAACCGCTAAGGTATTTGGTGCAGCCTTCACTGTCACGGTCAGCCTCATGAGTCTTCAGAGAAGAGGATTTAGGAAAACTTAGAGGACAGGTGATTAGGCGAAATTGGGGCACTGTAAAGGTGAGTCTCCAGGGTTCCTTATCTGCTATCCCAGATCTTAAAATCCTCGAACTAAAAACCTGATAAAGCGGAACGTCGGACACACTAAATGAATTTTACCGACCCATTGCCCATACTAATGCAGGGTAACAAGACAACTGGACAGTTAAGTCAGTTGCCCCCAGCATAACGTAATACCAACAAGGTAACAACATAAAGCTTCAACATGGGTATCTATATGAATTTCTAATCAATACTCAGAGCCTTTCAATAAGAGGCACCCACTGAAGGTCGTTGTTAGAACTAAGACTACCGGTCTTCTGAGCTTTTTTGTACGTCGTTTATAAAAAAATAGACTCTTCATACTAGAGATGCACTGTCTATGCAAAAGATTTATCGCAAATACCACGAAGGCCATGAAGTCAGGTTGCGGATTTCGGGTCTAATGTGGCAAGGGCTTTAAGCCGTCGATTACCCTCAGTTCCGGGCTTGTAACTCGACCCGTTGAGCGGGATAAAGCCATCACCACCGCGCGCTGGCAGCCCAGAAAAGCCGCTGGACTGAGGAAAAGAACGGCTAAGTTGTACAACTTAGCGCATGCTCTTGTAGGTGTCTTCAGCCGGTTTCCCTATTGTGACATAACGCGACAAAGTCGATCCGCTTAGTCACGTATCTTCGCAATTGCCTTCACTCCCTCCATTTGTGTTACCTAAACTTGTGTTGCACTCAGGTTCACCGGACGATCGAGGTCATGGAGAGGCAAAGCACGAAGGACAAGCAAGTACAAAAAGTACTGCTCTCACTTTACCTTTCTTTTTGCGATAAACAACAAACAAATAATAGTGCCTCGACAAGAAGAAAGAGACAGAAGGCACAACAATCGGAGAAAACGTACTACTTATGTGAATGATGGCGGCGGACGACCATTCCTTCTCAAATAAAAAAACGGTGAGATGCGTACGCGTCAAGTATTGCGACGAGCACGAGCCTAAACGCCAAGCAAAGGTCACGCGCCTTTCAGCACGTTATGTTGGTCCACTCAGGCCGCTGCGTTGTCAGCCATACCAGCGCAGCCACTGAAGAGTCCACTGACCAGGCCACATAGACCCGGAATGCCGTACGTGCGTAATCTTTTAGCCCGAAGTTATTTTCAAACTGAAAAAGGTTTTTTTTTCTAAGTTAAAAAAAAAGCAAGTGGAGTTTTGTAGACACCGGATAAAATATATAGACTCTGGGTATTATATAACGATTTATGGATTATACCTCTAGGAAATTGCTCCGAAGTAAATAGCCATACGTAGGTAATTGAGGTTGTCGGTACTGAGAATTATAAGGACACAAATGAGTTGTACAGGGTGCGCGTGACGGAGCGCAAGTTATGATAAGGTTACTCTGGTTGACGTGTAGGCAGACGTGGAAACAAGAAAGGTTCCCTGCGCAGCGCGGTGATCGAAAAGGTACGCCTTTAGGAAATAGGGAGAAACGTCGCCCGGAGGTTACAGGATGTCTTTTTTCCCAAATTTTTATATTAGGCAAGGAACGTCCCTCCAAACCCAATGATACTTCGCCGTTTTTAGTAATATTTTACCTTGACGCTCTGTGGACAGTTCGTTTAGAATGCGTACCAGTTATTACTTACAGGCCCGTTTTCAGGTAAAACACCGTAAAACAAAAGAACATACGGTCTCATATAGTTTTACATGTCTATTAATAGGAACAAGATAAAAGAACGGAGACGCTACCATTTGTTGTATCCGGATGCCCACGCGAGAGGATGGAAGGGTGTAAAGGGGTAAGGGTCCAGAGGTACGGGGACCAAAGTTATTTTACGGAAGGGTTTTGTTTTCATATTTTGTGAAGTAAACAGATAAAAGTTATGTGCATCTTAACTTCCTTCTAATTTAGAATATTTGTTTTTTTTTATTTTGTTTAACCTATTGATAATTTATACATATATTACAGGGAATCATACCCGAGGTAGTTCCATCAACAACCTCTTCTTTACACCGTTGTACACGATCCAATGTTGATTTTTTGTGTTACAAACGAATCTATCTTATTAAAAACAGTCAAAATGAACAGTACATGTAATACTTTTTCTCTCTTTCGATGAGAAAAAATTCACACGGTAGTTTTGTAAGTCTAATCATGTGTATTTGGCATGAAGTGACAAAAACGTTCAACATGTCTCCATTAAGGCCAATTGTAAATTCAGATTGATCTTTCCTCAGAGTACCAGCTGCACACCTTTAGTTAATCTGCCAAATAGGCCACATTATTTTCCCTAAAGTACACAAAAAGCACACTTCAGACGCTCGCCAGGGTCCTGAGACGCTTCACCCATTGAAATTTTACCGATATCTGCTACGGTTCTTCAACAAAACGTTCACATGTAAGATGTTTATCCCTCATTCAGATCAATGGAAAGGCTCTCCTCTCACTGATTACTGCACATCACCATGGAAACCTTGATCTCTGGGCTCAAGCACAGGTGTTTCATAACGTCGTTAGCTCAAACACAAACACCTGTGTGATGATGTCATAACTCCAACTGACATGCTCAGAACGCCACCAAACATCACATGATGGTTAACACTGTGGCCCTGAACAGCTCTAAGTCAAATGTGATGTTACATAATGTGGGGTTACCATGGCAACGCATCCCTCGCCATAAAACACGATTTTCGCTCCAACTCCAATTGACACGGTCCGATCGTCCCCCAATCTTCACTTGTATATCACCGGTCCATACCTCAACAGCTCTACGCCAAATCTGACATCTGACCATATGCCGTTTCATGGAAACGCATCCCCAAAAAACACAATGTTGGCGTAACGCCTATGAAAAGGGTCAAAACAGCACCAGACTTCAGATGATGGTTAATGGTCCAGCCCTCAACATGTCTATGTGCCAATAGTGAGTTTTCCTCAAAAGCTGTTGCCCTCGCCATAAAACACGATATTGCTATAACTCCGATGAAAATGGTCAAAGACTGCTCAAACTTCACATGTGTGCTAACAGATTTCTTCAAATGCCCTTGCCATGGCAACACAATGCTCACCATGAAACACAGTTTAATCATAACTTCAGTGAAAATGCTCCAAATGGCCCAAAACTTCACAGGTTTGGTAACGATGCATCCATCAACATATCTAAGCGTATTATGGGGTTTCATCAAATGTCGTTGCCATGGTGACAGATCACTCGCCACCAAGTTAGTTCAAAAGTTTGCAGTTAAAATATTCTGATGCTTTTCAAAGCCTTTTTACTTTCTTTTCTTCTCTTATCACACATTCATTCACTACTAGGTACATCTGATATTTAACTCCTTCAGCCTACTTTCAGCTGCAGAAACCATTCAACTATTACATTATTCAGCTATTTCAGGACATTGAGGCGATACATTTTGTTGTTTATACCTTTTTTAAACCTTTTCTTTTAAATATTAAGCTTCTTCACTATTTTTCTTACTCTTCGAGTTTAACATTTCACTTTCAAGTTTTCAACAAAGTCATTGCACGCATTTGAGCTGTAACAATTTTGATTCAAATCATTTCACTTTTCTGCATTTCTCCGCTAAGTTCAGCAACACACTTACTTGGTTTCTTTAGCTAAAAGCAGCTACAGAGACCATTCAGCTAATAAAATATTCAGCTTTTTCTGCATTTTCAGCTAAATTCAGCCACAAATGTTCACAGTTTAAAGCATTTGCACGCATTTTCAGCAGGAAAAGCATTTTCTAGTTGAAAGTAGTAGGCCTACTTCCCTGTCTGGTAATTTTTTTCATTCCAATTTTTTAATGAAATATATGAATAAACATTACTATTACTACTAATAATAAATATGAAATCCTTTTTTTAAATATATTTTTTATTCCTCTAGTACAAATAACAAATCGATAACGTCGGAGCTTATCGATACCACGGTCTTTAAAATACTGCAGGGACACAAAAATGAATTCTGTTCTATTGCATTGTATATACATATTGGTCTGTTGCTGGCCATCATTGTATCGTGGGTGTTGACAGGAAAATACTCTTTAAAGCGAGTTCTGTTTATATATTACTTAACAATTGAATTGATTGAACGATATGTCTTATTATCTTACAAAATACAGGTTATAATAAATGATGACAGACAATGAGAAAGTTTAACTGACTGTCTGGACTTCAAATGTTGTCATAGGTTCCCGTGCAGAGGACTCAGGTTTGAATCCGGCTAGGAACCATTTATGCATGTCATCTCCTCTGTCTTCCCCTTTTAACACTGTGACTATTCAATAAAAAAAAAATTGCAATCGATGCATCCCTGCAATAAACCCCACTAACTGGACCTTTAAACTTAATCTATGAGAAGTTGCCGGCACACAGAGCTAAACGCTTTCCTGCTCGTTCTAATATCTGAGCAGCTTCTGCAGGGAGTCAATGGAGGACGTATTGTATTTCCGGCTGACAAATTGTATACAATAATAACTTCCTACACTAAAATACTTTGTTCTACACCAACAGTGGACTAAGATTATCAGCCACAATACTGCTTCACTTTCTTTCATAGGTGGTAGCCCTTGAAGTCCCAAAAGGCTCTGTGTCGCTGTTTTGTATATATAGTATGAAATAATAGTGTGTATGATATGATAGTATGAGCCTTTCCTCAGTCAGGGTATACAGCCGCATCAACAGAAAAACAGACTGAGAAGCATGCTGGAAACATGTTTCTAATGTCCAGAGGCCAACCCATATCAGTATGTTAAGTGCAATGGTTTGGTTACCGTGAAGGGAAGTCAGTCATGAAGAGTTCTGGGACCAGTTCCTGCAGGCTGACTGGCTGCTCAGGGTGCTGAGGACAGAGGATGTGCTCCTTCTCCACTGCAGCCAGAACACAGTCCTCCATGTTGAAGTAATGAAGCCCTGCCCCTCCTGCGCCATCAGCCCGCCCCCCTGCTCCCCATGCTCCCTCTTCTCCCACCTGACCTACAAGCTTGGCTTGCTTCTGAGGGCCCAGTGAGGCACAGAGGGGACAGGGAGAGTACTGCTCCATGAGGAGACTCCCGTCACTCTCACTGGCGGTCAGAGCTACAAGAGAGGACACAGAAATAAAAGAAATGTACAAGATCTGTGTTTATTGGACATACATGTGTAACATGTCTGAGGGCAGCAGAACAGACACTGTCATTTATCAAAGGGATTCAATCAATAGGCAACATATTTGTGATAGTGGCCCATGCCCTCCCATTTGACATTCCTGCCCTCCCCCAATAAAAACTTTTTTTATTATTTATACAAATTAAAAAAAAAATATATATATCTTTTTATTATAAATAAACTGTGAACTTTTATGCTAACTAAAAAATAAAAAAAATAACCGCAGGCTACGTCAAATAAATGCATGTGTCTGTTGTGATTTGTGATTCGTCCACATTTAGACCAATCACAGCATCACACTCTGCCGCCTATTCTGGATTTGTTTATTGTGCATTGTGCATTCTGTAGACTCCCATTTCTGTTTGAATTACAAAATGGACATCAGAAATTGGCTTAAAAGGTCTAAGGATTTATTGAAACGAAATAGTGATGAAAGAACTGCAGCCGATGGTGCTGCTGGCGACCCTGCACCTGCCGTTGCAGCAGCACGCCTTAATGTCACAAGCTTGACCTCGGCAAACCCTGGGGCTGAGTTAGCGAGCCCAAGCCTTGACTCATCAAGGCGGCCGCCTATCTGCCACCAACGCTATCTGCCACCAACGCTATCTGCCACCAACGCTGTCTTCTGAGGCAGAGCTCCTTGTGCCCCTACCATCACCACCTGCGTTGCCACACCCTGTACCACACCTGTCGCGATAATCGATAAATTGACTTATCGTACGATAAATAAAAATGGACTCGATAACTTTTCTGAGCTCGATAAATTGCCGTTTACATAAAGATGTGACCAGCATTTTAGCCTGGAGCGCTGTGGCTGCCAGGCGCGCTGTGAGGGGCGGGGCTGACACACAGCCAGGTCAGGACACTCCGCGTGCACATGCAGCAGCGTAGCAGCCAAATTAATAATATAGCGACAAGCGGAGACAACGTGTGACTTACTCGCGGGGAATTTAAAGTGAAATGGAATTGGTTACAAAACCTAACGACACATCTCGATTCTCCGGTGTGGCAGTATTTTGGATTCAAACCAAATCAACGAGGCGAACCTACGGACTTGAATGAGCCGGGCGGTGTGTCGCATTGGTTTAAAAAAGGTAGCGA